GATGGAACTCGGAGGAGGCCTAATCTATGGAATTTAATTGGTCGAGTGGAGGTAATTGGCAGTAGGCAGTCTCTACCAACTAAGAAGAGATAGTATGTCAGGTGCAAACATTTTCCTAGGGAGGACTTCCATCCTTTAATAGAAGTGGGGGGGGAAATATCACCCAGGAACATGTACAAACTGAAAAAGAAGTAATGTAGGGGATAAAGAGAGAAATGTAGTTGCTTCTTGGAGAAGGTGGGTAAACTTGGTAAGCTCCCTTTGTGGGCGGCCAGTCCTAGCTGCTTGCGCCCGGAGTTGCGGCTGAAGTGAACCCCCAAAGCCCCTGCCACCACCAGAATATCTGCTGCCGCCTCCGCCTCCTCCTCCTCCAACAGCACTGCCAGATTTGCCACCCAACGCTGCGGCTGAGGTGAAGCCCCAAAGCTCCCGCCGCCACCGGAATATCTGCTGCCGCCTCCCCCTCCGCTTGAAGCACTTGAGCTGGGCCCCACATTATCCCTCCCCCCTCCTCCTCCGCCGTGCTTTTGAGAAGCCATGAGGCCGCAGGAGGCAGTAGGAAGGTGGCGGAGGGCACGGGAGCAGGAAAAAAAGGTCTCATGGCTTCTCAAAAGCACAGTGGAGGAAGAGGCGGCGGCAGGGGTAACACGGGGCCCAGCTCAGGTGCTCCAAGTGGAGGGGGAAGCGTCGCTGCCACGGGCCGGGTGCCAGTGGGAGCTTTGGTGGCTTCACCTCAGCCGCAGCAATGGGCGGCAAATCCAGCAATGCTGTTGGAGGAGGAGGGGGCAGCAGCAGATATTCCGGTGGCGGCGGGAGCTTTGGGGCTTTATCTCAGCTGCAGCACCGGGTGCAAGCAGCCAGGACTGACCATCCACAAAGGACCTTCCCAAGCTTGCTTTGCTGAAAACGGGGTGATTGGTGCTAGTTTGAGCGGCCGCGGCCGGTGCAAACTACCGCCAGTCACCCAGTAATCAACAAAACAAGTCTGGGGAGGTCCTTTGCGGGTGGCCAGTTCTAGCCACACCTTCCGGATTCACCAACCAACCGGTCCACAAGGACCGGTAGGAACCCACCCCTGTACTTTAGCCTATATATAAAGAAGCTATTTTAATAAGCAAGCAGAAGAATTATTGCAAAGAAAATGTTACACTTTATAGAAACTTTCAAGATTTCCACTTGTCATTGACTCATAGAGGATGACCCCCCCACAAAATGGAGGTGACAAGAGGGAATTGCAAGAAGAGCAAAGGTTTAAGCATCCTTTTCCCAACTTATTACTCCCTGAAGTGACCAGCTTAAATAAACTTACGTTCATTATAATCCCCAAATTCTAGATAAACCAGTGCATATTAGTATACACTATTTCTTTTCATAGTCCAAACCATTTTCTCTGTGTGGTGTCAGGCCTAAATACCATAGCATTATACAAGAGATTCAAGCTATGATTCATAATAATGCTACCTGAAACTGCAATAATTGTTTGTCAGAACCACATTATTGCTTTGGATTCAAATTGTTGTTTACTAGATACTAGAGAAGATCTGGAAGTCTCTCCTCCCAATACTATCTTGAAGACCCTTTTAGCATTACCGGAGGTACTATATTTGCTTGTGCTTCAAGAAATTTTACTATATGTGCTAAATGATGCAAAAAAATCAAAATAAATTTTGAATTTTCCTATTATATAGGGAAAAGTGCTATTTATATATTACTTAACATACTTCAGTTATTTCTCTCAAATAAATTGCAGTTACATTATCCATTTCATTTTTGATTCCCATTTGTCTAATTTCCTTTTACACTGATAGATGTTATTTGGCTTTTAAATCTGCTCTCAGTTTCCTATTATCTTCTGAATCTATCAATTAAAAGCCTGAAAAATAAAAGCCTTTAAACTAGGTTTATAGGTTTTTATTTATTTATTAAAGAATTTAATTTTAAAAAGATTTAAAACAATATTTTTATTAAAGAAAAGTGCCTATTTAGAAGAATTTAGCAATAGCGCTTATACTTATATACTGCTTTCTAGTGCTTGACTGCCCTCGCTAAGCGGTTTAGAGTCAGCATATTGCCCCCAACAAATTGAGTCCTCATTTTACCCATCTAGGAAGGATGGAAGGCTGAGTCAACCTTGAGCCTGGTGAGATTCAAGCTGCTAAATTATAGGTAGCCAGCAGGCAGCAGAAGTACCTGCAGTACTGCACTCTGCGCCACCATGGCTCGTTTAAATATTTTGATATGTTTCCATACTACTTACCTGTCATTATAAAGCAACTTCTTACTATGTATTTTTTAAAAACTATATTTTTTTATTTTGTGTTTTTAGAAATCTGTGAACAGAGATCTCTATTACTATCAAAGTTATTTTGTAATAGTTATTAATTATTGCTATAGTTATTCTGAAAGTCTTTTGTCTGAAGACTAATACAGATACCATGTTTCCCCAAAAATAAGAAAGGGTCTTATTTTCTTTTGACCTCCAAAATAAGTGCTTGGTCTTATTTTTGGGGAGGTCTTAATTATTTTTGAGATGCAGGAGGTGGTGAGCGTGGTCTCCTCATGCCTGCTGCTGTGTTGCAATATTTTCAGGGAGGGCTTATATTCAGGGGAGGGCTTATTTTAACACATTCGCTCAAAAGCTTGATTGGGTTTATTATTTGGGGAGGCCTTATTTTTGGGGAAACAGGGTAGTCTTCAACTTACAACAATTTGTTTAGTTACCATTCAAAGTTACAATAGCACTGAAAAAGGTGGCATATGACCATTTTTCACACTTTCAACCCTTGTAGCATCCCCATAATCATGTGATCAAAACTGAGACCATGGCAACTGGCATGTATTTGTGATGGTTGCAGTATCCTGAGGTCATGGAGGAATCAGAGTGCATACTGATTATTTAATCAGGATTTGGGGTTAGTTTTCATGCCAAATATTTGTTACTAAATATAGGCAGTCCTCAATTTATGGCTGCAATAGAGCCTGCCCATTAAAACTGTAAGTCATGATAGTCATAAATTGGGTCACCCCATGACCTACCCAATTTTACTATATTTTTTGCAGTGGTCATTAAACAAGCCCATTGTGCTGAAAATCAAAAGTAAATGCTGGGTTTTGTCAAAACATAAAATGTGGTCATCTGACTGAGGGACTCTGCAAACAGCCATAAATAAAGGCCAGTTGTCAAGTACTTCACATGCAGTCATGTGATGGAATTATGGAACCTGGTTATAAGTAACCCTGGGGAGGCCTGCTTTAACTTTGAATAGTCAGTAAGTGTTCGATTATAAGTTGAGGATTATTGGTGAGGGTTGCTCAAAACTACAATAAGAGTTATCCTTTTGACATAATTAAAAATTGAATTGATAAAGCAAATTGGTAGCTCAGGGTAGAAATGAGTGGTCCTTGGGACTCTCTGAGCTTGCTTGTTTTCTTGCAGACATTTCATTACCCAAACTAGGT